AACAAACAAAGCTTAATTCTAAACTAAACCGAAGAAATCGAAAAAAAAAAAAAAAAACCTAAGAAAGCCAATATGGCAACATCTATATATAATGCTTCACAATCACATGTACCAAAAAGAAATCCTTCGCAATCGAATGTACTAGTGTAGTAATTATGAGAGATAAAATAGCGATTGGGAATTCCTAGTAAAGATGAAAGAGACTACTCAATTCACAGGGACTCTATTTTTCTCAAACATATGAGAGGTACCAATTTCCTGTTTGGACCACTACTTGAAAGTTGAAACTAGAAAATGGGGCTCCATCTTTTCTTTTGGCATTTTGCAAACAACGGGCAACTACCGCAGGCTACTGCCTCCCACAAGCACCAAACCCTTTTCTCCCTCAGTTTCAATTTATTACTAGTTTTTTTTTTTTTTTTTTTTAAAGTAAAAATTACATTAATAATATTAATATCTCTGCTTGTAATTGCACCAGACCCGAAGTCCTTCTCTAGTCCGCGCTTGCACTTCGGAATGACCTGCAAAGCCCCGAGCGCTTGCACTTCGGAATGACCTGCAAAGCCCCGAGGTGGAACTCGGGGTAGACACTCCGATACTTAAGTCAGCAATAATCGAGGCTACCTTTAGGGCGGAGATAAGAAAAGCTTAGGGTTGGTTTCAATTACCTTTTGACGTGGCCCGGGGGGTATTTATAGGATTCAATGAGGAACCCAGTGGCATGCCAAGCAAGATAATCGGAGCCTGACGTGTTCATCCAGACGATTATTTCGGGACCGGGAATTTGAGAGGTATTCAAATGCACAAGCGTCCACCATACTTGCTGTGCGACTCATCACAAGGAATCAAGTGCGGGCATACTTATTGTCACTATCATGCATCTATTTGAGCAGGGGGTTTTGGGTTTATTTCCCACCTCAGTCATAGAGGAGTTACTGTAGCAGTCCGAGGCTTGGCACCTCGGACCTGTCCTTACACCACTAAAAGATGAAAGGAATGTCAAGTTTGGAATTCAACCTGAAAAATCGAGTGTCCACACATGTTTCTCAATAAAAAACATAATCACGATAACCACACAGATAAAATGCAATTTATTACTAATTTTAAAAACCTACAGCACTCCACTCTTGTTCCACTTTATTCGAGTTTCTTACAATTTAAAGAATCATTATTTATCTTTCTTCCAAATTTACCTTTTAATAAATTTTAACGGTAATAAAAATGCTCTACTTCTTAAAAATAACTAAAAGAATAACAAATAAGTGTTTTAAATGGTAAATGTTTGGGCAGCTTCGAGATTCAATACTGTAGGTATCTCCAACTGCTTTAACATTTGAAATTCTTAAAGATATTTCTTTGGGGTAAACACTCTGACGCTCAAGTTAGCAATACTCAATATTGTAAAAAGAGATGCTCTCAAAGAGTAATTGTAAAGAAACAAGCGTAGTGGAGTTAATACCTTGCATGAGATAATTAAAAGTATTTATAACCCCATGTACTAACATGAGTTCAGACGTATATTCATCTAATTGGCCCACGTGTTACTGCCTATGTAAGTGTGTCTCCTAAACTTGTGAGCATATAACTGGGCTGTTGCATGTGGTTCGAAACAGGTGTTGGGCCTAATCCCAACAATAAATTATATATTAAAAATGTAATTTTATAAATATATTAAAATACTTTTAGTAAAATTATTTAATTTGTTATTTTATTAAAAATATTTTAATAACTTTATAAAATATAAATATATTAAAATACTTTTAGTAAAATTATTTAATTTGTTATTTTATTTAAAATATTTTAATATCTTTATAAAATAAATTACATTTTTAATATATAATTTAGAATATATTACTTGAATCTCAAAGAATAAATGGGTGACAGTTATAATTCGCTTAAACGTATGATTCTAGATACATCATCACTTAAGTAAAATATGAATTATTTATCTTTTTATTATAAATGATTAAAATTTATCATGATTTTTAAATAAAAATATAATTATTTAAAAAATATGATAAAAATAAATAAATTTTAATTATTTATAATAAAAAGATAAATAATTAAAATTTTGTATAAAAATTATTCATAAATAATTTACAAAATTTTATACAAAATTTTGTGCAAGCAATTCACTTATATACAATTTGTACATGCATT